AGCCTAAATAGCTCGCAGAAATCTGCAAAGACGCCATATGCCTCTGCAATCTGTAACGGCTCTATCCATGAGGAGTTTCTGAAAGAGTGCATTCTGGTTTTTAAGAGCCTGCAAGTACTCGGATGTGGAAGGCAGCCGCACTGCATTTGTGGCTTCTGCTTAACAGTTAGGTATCTACTGCTGCTCAGCAGTCACCTCGCGGTTAATTGCGGTTTTTCCCACCTTTTAAGCCGCCATCTGAACAAGGACACCCTTGAAAACACTTTCGCTGTTATACGTTCAAAATCAGGTGCAAAAACGAACTCCACTTTCCGTCAATTTCAGGCTGCGTTCAGGCACCTTTTGATTAGCAACCTATTCAAGCTGTCGGAAAAATCAAACTGTGCTGATGACATGTCTCTCCTTGCTATACGTTCCCAGCAGGCCTTTTGGCACCTTCTCCTCGTCTTGCCTTAGGAAGCAGTTTTTTTTTACCACGGCAGACGATTCGCCTTCAAACTAGCTCTTGGCAATAAGAGAGAACAACATGGTTTATTTTGCTGGGTGGCTGGCATCGAAAGTCCTCAAGGTTCATTTCTGTGTAGTAACATCCCAGAAATATGAGTTGAGGACAGAAGATGCGTCTTTTTCTTAGGGAAATCAAGTGCTCTTGTATTTGAGTGTGAAAGGAACTGCCGACTCCCACTTTGGATACCTCTCAGTTCCTTCTGCTTCTTTCATATTATTTGTTGAAGCTTGTGAGGAAGTCTTCGAGACATGTATCAACAGCCTAATTTCAAAGGAGAACGTAGGACGGACTCTTTGTGTACTTCTTAACCAGAAGATTTCAAAGTCTCTGACTGTATGTGACGAAAGTGTTTATGATAATTTGTTTTCTCTGATTGCCAGAGTCATTCTGCACTGGTTAGCGCGAGAAAAAAAAATGCTGACTATTCCATACAGTAGCAAAGTGTAAAGCTAGGCTGCAAGTGCGCAGACTACGTATGCGAGACCACCCAGAGTACTTTTTAAAGCAGTGCAGGCATGTTCTATTCGAGCCTTTCATTTTCTTCGGTTTCTTGAGGAGTAATGTAGTCTTCTAACTTATTCACATATATAGAGTTTAAAGCTGTGAAGCAACACTGGCTTATGGAGTGCAACATACCACAGGGCTCCAAGAGGGTTTACTCCACTTGGCTTCCTTGACCTGCACCAAACAATCGCTGCGTTGCAGTGTAGCAGCACCAGCAGATGCAAGTTAAGATATTTTCAGCATTATGGTACCTTGCCCAAGGAATGTGTAGAAAAGTGGGGCTTTTCTGTGTATTACAGTGGTGGCCTCAGTTGTCGTCGGAACACTGTGGAACCTCCGAGTTATTAGTGGCTGCCTATCAACTGTCAATGTCCTCACAACATCCAGCCGATTGTACAATGTCTTATGTTATAACAGTGTGCCTTATGTACCGATCTACTAATTTTCTTCGACCATGACCTTTTGAAAATAGTTGATACCGATTGTATAATTCTGGTGAGCAATCTGAGTGAATGATTGTAAGTGAATGAAACAAATAGAACGCGACTGTTAAAGCGACGTTGGACTTGCATTAGAGTTACTGTTGTGTATTTCATACGCCCAACACACTCCAGAAATTTGATTCACTCTTTTTTGTGATATTACAAAATTTGCTTTAAGGTTTCTCACATACTTCCCAGGGATCCTGAAGGAACAAAAAGCAAAACACTGCGGCTGGAGTTTGACCACTGTGCAAAGACACGATGGTTGTGACGAAATGAAACTACTCTCATAGCAGGTCGGCTAAAAAAGTCGGCTGCAGAAAAAAAAACATTTCGAACAAAATATAAGAGCAAGGGCAAATAAGGGTGTAAACGATCCAGCATTCCAGTATAGAGTAAACACAAGGTGTAAACACCCCAAGAAAAACCCGAGACTGCAGGTAAAAGGAACGACATACACTAAAAAGTATCAAACAAAGCTCAAACACGGAGCTATGTTTGAGACTTTTTAGTGTACATGTCGTTCATTTACCTGTGATCTCTGGAATTAGTTTTGTTTAATTTTCGCGCCAAACCGCACGCACGCATGACGTCACGTTTTTTTCCGGAAGTGTCGCAATTTCCTGTTGATTTTTTGTTCCGCCGGAAGTGTCCCCACGACTCATAGATGGCGCTAAAGCAGCTCCATGGGCCGCCATTTTTTCGACATGTGGGCTTCTATGGAAGCTTCGCTACCCATGTACATATACCTTGCGGACTGTACGAATTTAAAGTGATGCCGTTTGGACTGTGGACAGCACCGGCGACGTTCCAGCGCGTAATGGACACCGTTCTTTCCGGCTTGAAATGGCAAAGCTGCCTCGTCTATCTCGACGACGTCGTGGTATTCGCAAGCGACTTCGACGAGCACCTGAGACGTTTGCGAGCCGTGCTACAGGCTATCCAGAATGCTGGACTGACACTAAAGCCGTCAAAATGTCGGTTCGCTTACGGCGAGCTCAAATTCCTGGGCCATGTCGTGAGTGCTCAGGGTGTAAGCCCTGATCCTTCCAAGACATCTGCTGTTGCAGAATTTCCCAAGCCATCAGACAAGAAAGCCGTAAGAAGATTTCTTGGACTGTGCGCTTACTACAGGCGTTTTGTTTGCGATTTTGCCAAGATTTCTGCACCGCTCACGCATCTGACCAAGGACGACGTGAACTTCCAGTGGGGGGAGGAGCAAGAACAAGCGTTCAACGAACTGAGGGAAAGACTCCAGTCACCCCCTCTCCTCGGACACTTCGATCCATCAGCGGAAACGGAAATTCACACGGACGCCAGCAACGCCGGACTCGGCGCGGTACTTGTCCAAAGACAAGACGGAGCAGAGAGGGTGATCGCTTACGCAAGCCGGGCACTGTCCAAGGCAGAGAAAAATTACTCAACGACCGACAAGGAATGTCTTGCTGTCATCTGGGCGTTAACCAAGTTCCGCCCGTACCTGTACGGGATCCCGTTTCGCATTGTCACGGAACACCACGCTCTCTGTTGGCTCGCAAACCTCAAGGACCCGTCAGGACGCATCGCTCGCTGGAGTCTGCGACTGCAAGAATTCGACGTGGCCATTGTGCATAAGTCTGGCCGAAAGCATAACGACGCCGACTGTTTGTCTAGGGCCCCAGTCGAATCTCCTCCCGAAAGCACTGAAGACGACGACGGCGCCCGTTTTCTCGGTGCAGTGACAGATGCCGACATGGGAGCACTTCAACGAGACGACCCGGAACTTCGCGCCGTGATCGAACACCTCGAAGGCCAAGGAAGTTCAGTTCCGCGAGTCTTGGCCCGAGACTTGTCAAGCTTCGTTCTGCGGCGAGGTGTGCTCTTCAAGAAGAACTTCGGAACGAGCAACCCTGCTTGGCTGCTGGTTGTTCCGGCCAGCCTGCGAGAAGAAATCTTTCAAGCATGCCATGACGACCCGACGGCTGGACACCTTGGATACAGCAGGACGCTCGCCCGGATTCGTGACAAGTACTACTGACCGAGACTCCTGAAAACAGTCCACCTGCACACACGGTTATGCCATGAGTGCCAACGACGTAAGAGGCCTCCGACGAAGCCAGCAGGACTCCTGCAGCCGATACCTGCCCCGACTAAGCCTTTCCAGCAAGTCGGAATGGATTTGCTTGGGCCTTTCCCAACATCGACGCAAGGAAATCGGTGGATTATCGTCGCGACCGATTATCTTACACGATACGCCGAGACGAAAGCCCTGCCATCGGGAACAGCCGTGGAAGTCGCCAAATTTTTCGTCGAGTCCATTCTCCTTCGACACGGCGCACCTGAAGTACTGATTACAGATCGCGGGTCATCCTTCATGGCCCAGCTGACGCAAGAAGTCTTTCGTCTCAGCCACACCAGCCGTCGTCGCACCATGGCGTACCACCCGCAGACCAACGGGCTGACGGAGAGACTCAACAAAACCATCGCCGACATGATTTCCATGTACGTCGACGTAGAGCACAAGACATGGGACGAGGTGCTGCCGTACGTCACGTTTGCGTACAACACAGCGGTTCAAGAAACCACGGGAATGACACCGTTCCAACTGGTACACGGCCGGAAGGTTACCACGACGCTCGACGCCATGCTGCCTCACGTGCCAACCGGTGATGTCAACGACGACGCTCAACTCATCTCCCAGCGCGCGGAGGAAGCTCGTCAACTGGCAAGAGTCAAGATTCAATACCAACAGCGAGTCGACGCACGCCGGTATAACCTTCGTCGCCGGGACGTCCACTTTCAACCCGGAGACCGGGTATGGGTTTGGACACCAATACGTCGTCGTGGTCTCAGCGAAGAACTCCTGAAACGCTATTTCGGACCCTACAAGATCATCCGACGCCTCGGCGATCTGAACTACGAAGCTCTACCCGACGGAACGCGCCCATCTGCAAGACGTCAGCCGCGACCCGAGGTGGTGCACGTCGTCCGGCTGAAGCCGTATTACGAACGATAGAACTTTCCACTCTCGTCGACGGGTGAACTGTGAACTGCGACTGGCGATTCTGCTGCCTTTTTGTTTTGGATTTGTTTTTGTTTGTTGTTCTTCGTTTTGTGCTGCATCGGGACGATGCACTTTTTAAAGGGGGGGATAATGCCGCGCGCAGGGTCACGGACTTGTAGAAAGTTCTCGTTCATTCTTGCTGCGGACATAACTATCGTTCATCCTTGTTTTTGTTGTTCTAGAAAGTGCTTGTTCATTCTCGCCCCGAGCGCGCTACGCTCGAACCTTCTCCGCCGAATCTTCGAGATAGTGACTCACTCTAGATAGGAGGCCGCCCGCGACCTTGTCGAGTCAGTTTCGCCCCAGCGCTCGACTCTGCTGTCTCGCCGACCTCGACGCTCGCGACGCTTTGTTATTATTTTCTATTTTCTTTTTGTTTTGGCACAAGTTCGCCACATTAAACGTTTAGTTCTTCCTGTTTATTTATTGTTATTCTGGTCACCACCCGTGACATTTTGGTGGAGGTGCGGGGGGCGGCCCCTGCCGCCGCAGAGTCTCCCTCCTTCGACATGTTCGCGGAGGAGGTGGACCCCGCCAAGGTGCAGGAGCCCTCCTCGGCCAAGGAGGAGAAAAAGGAGTCCACCAGCACCGGTGCCGCAACGGCTGAGGGAGAGGACGAGCTGATGTGGGAGTTCAAGTGGGAAGATGCTGAGGACGCTCCGATCTACGGCCTGCACACTTCGTCCCAGATGCTGCAGTGGGTGCAGGAAGGCTACTTCCAGGATGGCGTGTGGGTGCGCAAGGCGCACGAACGGGATGCGCGTTTCTATAGCTCCAGACGCATCGACTTCGACCTTTACGTCTGATGTGTTCGTTTGCGAGAAGACAGCTCCTGCCAGTTCTCTGTCTGGGAACGAATTTTAATTTCTGTTTTTCTCGTGGGCTAAGTACCCCTGGCCTCTTGTAGCGTTGTTGTTGGTTACGTTGAAAGCTGCAAGTTATAGCTAAATTCAGTGGCACTTGTCATGTGGTGTGCCATTTGTGTCTGTTTCTATCGGGTCTTTATCCTCAATTGTTGTCTTAGAACGGGGACACAGGCCATTCCATGAAAAAGGTAACATATGCTTGTGACATTCACCGTAGCTAATGCTAAGGTGGAAAGAGGCATTATACCATGATGTTGGGCATTATTACAGGAATGACAGCATAGTCTAATGGTAAATAGGATATAGGTATGGGAGGGAGATGGCTTAGGAGGAACATTGGCAGATGCTTCCCTTGTTATACCACCTGCTACTTGGCTTCAAAATGCCAATGGCTTAACCTTAAAGGAACTTTATATGATTACTTAAGACAAAAAAATAAGATGGCTTCAGAATGTGTTGTAAAACTATCTTGTTAAATTTTATTAGCCATGAAAGGAATTCTATATCTTAACCTTGAAGATTACCAATGAACGTGTTTTTAAGTGTTAGCTGAAAATAAGTGCACATGCTGACCAGAGTTCTTGTTCAGTAATGTCAAGATTATTACTCACGATAGTGTCTCACATAATCCTGTTACCCTTTTATCTTTGGCACAAGTTCGCCACAATAAACGTTTATTTCTTCCTTTTTATTTCCTGTTTCTTTTGGTCACCACCCGTGGCATTTTGGTGGACGTGCGGGGTACCGCATGCCCGTGCAGCGTTCCCCTCCCAGGACCCAGAGTGCAAGCCCGACTCCAAGCTCGCTGAGAAGACCAATCAGCGCGGAACCTGAAACTCGGACCAGCCGCCGCACCAAGGGAGAGGATCCGGAGTACGGTTTGATCCTGGACAAACCCAAGCCGAAGAAGACGACGATGGACAACCAATTGCAGGCCCCCGCCGCTCCTGCCGTCGTCTACCTACCCGTCGCTCGTCGGACACCGGCTCCCTTCCACGGCGAAAGCCACGAAGACATCGACGACTGGGTCCAACAGTACGAACGAGTGGCCCGTCATAACGGGTGGATACCGGAACAGTGTCTGCAAAACGCTTACTTCGCCTTGGAAGCCACCGCCCGGAACTGGTTCCAGAACCACGAAGTTTCGATCACTTCCTGGGAGCAACTCAAGGCTGAGTTGCGAAGAACGTTCACGAACCAACAACGAAGAGAACGCGCGGAAGAGCTTCTTCAAGCGAGGATTCAAGGCCCTAACGAGAGCGTCGTTAGCTTCGTGGAAGATGTCTTGCGACTGAGCAACCGCGCCGATCCCGAAGCATCCGAAGCAAAGACGCTCAGAGTCTTGATGCGTGGCATCAAGGAAAACATTTTCGGTGGTCTTGTGCGGAGCCCGCCTACCGCCGTCGAAGGCTTCATGACGGAGGCCACCAACATCGAACGTGCCCTTCAAGCACGAGCCACCCACTATCACCGAGTTCCCGGCGTCGGTTCCTTTTCGCCTTCCGGCTGCAACACCACGGATATCCGCGAGATGATCCGAGACGTCGTCCGGGAAGAGATCAAGAAACTTCTTCCTGCCGCCGCAAGCCCAGCTTCGCCCTCAATCGCCGAGATTGTCAGGGAAGAAGTCCAGCAAGCGCTGCAGCCTGAGGTTCTCGTCAGCACCGCTCCGGAACCACCGACATTGAGTTACGCCGCAGTGGCCCGACGGCCACCGCCTCCTCGTCGCACCTCTGTCACGCCCCCCCGACGTCAGTCTCCTGCGCCGCAGCACGACCGACGCCACGACGACCAGGTCCAGTACGCCTGCCCGGAGCCTCGCGCACCTCCACCAAAATGTCACGGGTGGTGACCAAAAGAAACAGGAAATAAAAAGGAAGAAATAAACGTTTAATGTGGCGAACTTGTGCCAAAAATAAAAGGGTACAAAAGATAATAACAGAGCGTCGCGGGCGTCGAAGTCGGCGAGACAGCAGAGTCGAGCGCTGGGGCGAAACTGACTGCGCTCGCCTGACGGAATCCCTTATGTACCCTCGTGGGTTTCTGGATCGTTCGGCGTAGAAGGTTCGGCGCGTAGAACATTCTAACCGCGAATCAATAAGACGGTTCTCGAATTCACCAGAACATCAAATTACACTGTCAACAAAAATGTGTAGCCGCTGCCAGGAATCGAACCCTGGCCTTCTGCGTGGGAGGCAAGTGCGATAACCGTTAGGCCACGCGCGCGCTGCCTACTTGGCCAGCTGCGCGCGCGGCATTACTCCCCCCTTTAAAAAGTGCATCGTCCCGATGCAACCCAAAAACAAAACAAAGCAAATAAAAAGAACGGTAAACTAAAGGGTATTTGGAATACGTAAGGTCCACTGTCCTATCGAGCGTAGTACGGCTTCATGCGCACGACGTGGACGACTTCTGGTCGTGGAGGGCGGCGTGATGAAGTCCGTGTTCCGTCGGGCATCACCTCGTAGTTCAGATCCCCGAGTCGACGAAGCACTTTGTAGGGTCCAAAGTAACGTTTCAGGAGCTTCTCGCTGAGACCGCGGCGGCGAATCGGTGTCCACACCCACACCCTGTCTCCGGGCTGGAAGTGGACGTCCCGACGACGAAGGTTGTAGCGGCCAGTGTCGACACGTTGTTGAGCCTGAATCCGAAGTCTGGCGAGCTGACGGACTTCTGCCCTTTGGGCAACCATTTGGGCGTCGTCGCTTGCGTCGACAGCCGCTTCATGGGGTAACATAGCGTCCAGCATTGTCGTTACCTTGCGCCCATGCACCAGCTGAAAGGGTGTCATTCCGGTGGTCTCTTGCACGGCCGTGTTGTAGGCAAATGTGACGTACGGCAACACCTCGTCCCATGTCTTGTGCTCCACGTCGACGTACATGGAGATCATGTCGGCGATGGTCTTGTTGAGTCTCTCCGTTAGCCCGTTGGTCTGCGGGTGGTACGCCGTGGTGCGGCGATGGCTGGTGTGGCTGCGACGAAGGACTTCTTGCGTCAGCTGGGCCATGAATGATGATCCACGGTCTGAGATCAGGACTTCGGGAGCGCCGTGCCGGAGGACGATGGATTCAATCAAAAACTTGGCAACTTCCACAGCAGTTCCGGAAGGAAGGGCTTTCGTTTCGGCATACCGCGTGAGATAATCTGTGGCGACGATGATCCAGCGATTTCCCGACGTCGACGGCGGAAAAGGGCCAAGTAGATCCATTCCGATCTGCTGGAAGGGTGCTGTTGGCGGAGGAATTGACTGCAAGAGTCCGGCCGGTCTCGTCGGTGGTTTCTTTCGTCGCTGGCATTCATGACATGATCGTGTGTACAGGTGGACGGTTTTGGGGAGCTTGGGCCAGTAATACTTTTCACGAATACGGGCCAGGGTCCGGCTGTAACCAAGGTGTCCGGACGTCGGGTCGTCGTGGCAGGCTTGGAAGATCTCCTCCCGAAGGTCGGTCGGGATGAACAGCAGCAGAAAGGTCGGTCGGGATGAACAGCAGCATATAATGCTCAGGCCGTTATGTTTGAATGCTCATAGTACTTTATTGCCCTCAAATTTTGTGTAAGCTGTCTCCTGATTGCTTGCAATAGAAAGAAGGAAACATTCTAACTCTGGGTTGATAGAAAATCTCCACCTGCTGACAGCTACCAATCATCTCGATGCCGATTATGAGTATTCACTGCATTCCAACGGTCGCGTGCTTAGAACGAGTTTTTCCCACGTGATTTTAGCAAATCGCAATTGCTTTTGGCAAACAACAATGTTTACCCAGGCAAGCGGTAACATCTTAAGCTTAGAATATTTTGTATTGATTGTGGCACACGTGGCAAGTTGCATAGGTTTTTTTGCAATCTGCGAAATGGAATGCTCCTGGGTTACCTTGGTCTCTAATGCATGTAGCACACAAAAGAGCACGAACTGAATCGCAGTCGGAAACGAAAACAATGATGATAAACAAGCGTGTAATCACGCGAAAACTGAGGGCATTGCACATATATAGAGGGAAGCTTTGTTTTACTAAATACATTATCAGTAAAGTATTTGGCTTTAACCTGCGAGCGAAGCGGAACATACGAGTGCGAGCATACTGCCCTGAACTACACTTTCAGTGAACAGGCGCACCGTCCAAGCATAGAGGTCGCTTTAATAGCTTATGGTGCGCTCAAACCTTTGAAAACAATTATGATCAATTCTATTATCTCAATTATCTTTGATTAAGTGCGCCTATGTGTGTGTGTTTTTTTTGTGTTTTTCGTTGACGTGCCATTTATCTTAGTTATAGAATATAGAACAACTATAGTCTGTTTTATCATAACTAGGAGCCTCATAATCAAAGATTTAAACAAAAAAGAAAAAAGAACGCGAACACGCGAACACACATTAAAAATGCGATATAACGGCGCATTCAAAATTAGTCGTTAGTTTTTTAGAGAGCAGCAGTTGCGTAGGGCGACATCGTTACCCGTTGAATGTTATAAAAAAGTGCAGTACAACTGTTAGCTCGGGGTCTTTAACGTGCACTACGCAGCATATGTGGTACACGATCGCGCAGTGGTGGGATGCAGATGGGCGACTGAAACCAAGGTCCTGCTAAAGCGCCTTGATAAAGGCGCTTTTTACACGTACCACCAACCATTGTTGTGGAAACGCGCAAGAGGCGTGCCACCAGCGGGTGCTGCACCGCCATTCCTTTCAAGGGATAGTCAATTTAGTGCTGTGCCGCCATTTGCCTCCAAGAGCCGCTCGAGAGACGGGCCTCGTGCACTGGCACCTTTGTGGGTATTTTAAAAAACCACGCGGAAAGACCAACGCAAACTCATCGAGGGGATTTAGTCCCTACAGGTTCTGCAGCATGAGCTCCGTGCTTTGAACGGAGCTCGCGTTCGAGCATTTCTCCACGTGCTCTGATCTGTGGTACGAAAACACATTCGGCCAACGATCCCCCACCGCACTTGGTTTAGCCTAGGTTTAGCCCTTGAGCTAAACCAAATGAGCTACGCTTAGACTATCGGCTCTTTTTCCCCCGATATTGTTGTGGGCGCTGCCATCTTGGGTGGTTAGTAACAAATCAAACGCAACTGCCGATCGTTACGATTCATAAGTTCGACTTCCCCAGAATTAGTTGCGTAAGCTCACGTAATATTGCTTTGCTTCATCGCGAACTGTTTAAACATTTGCGGAGGACGGAAAAGCGTTTACTGTGATTTCAGATGAGGCTTCAGATAACTGACAACCATCATTTTAAGCACCAAGATATGTATGAAGCGTA